GATGCCCACAGGTGGGTACCGGGGCTGCCCATACCCTGTCCCGGCTCAGCCAGCCGTTCCCGCAGGCAGCACTCCCGTGGGATGCTACAGAAAGCTGGTGGAGTACTACCAAAACGGGGACCTCTCCTTCAAGTATGTGAAGACCTTCAACATGGATGAGTATGTGGGTGAGTGCCATGGTCACACCTGGCTCTCCTTACCTGTCCCGTGTCTCTGGGGTGTGGGAAACACCTGCAAAGGGTCCAGGGGGGAGGACAAGGGTTGTGTTAGCCAAGGGGGTGAGCAGGGATGATTTGAGCAGCTGTATAAGGAATACTGAAAGGTATTGGGTGTTGCCTGGTATTGCACTGCTGTTTTCTGGAGCATCTCTCACGAGGACAGGCTGAGAGAGCTGGGGCTGTTCAGCCTGGAAAAGAGACACTGAGAGGAACCTCTTCAGCATCTGTCAGTGCCTGCAGGAGGTGTCAGGGTGGATCAGCTCTGCTCAGTGGGGCCCAGCCACGGGACAAGAGGCAATGGGCAGGAACTGATGCCCAGGAAGTTCCACCTGAACACAAGGAAGAGCTTCTTCCATGTGCAGTGACCAAGCACTGAACAGGTTGCCGAGAGAGGTCATGGATTCTCCCTCACTGGAGATATTCCTTCTAGACACAACCCTGAGCCATGTGCTCTGGGCTGGCCCTGCTGCAGCAGGAGGTGGGACCAGTGACCCACTGTGGGCCCTTCCAACCAGCCTGACCAGCTCTGTATTTTACCTGCACTCAGGTCGTACTGAGCACGTGAGGATTAAGCAGTTTATCACTGCAAGCTGAGATAGTGAGCGGCATTAACCACCACCTTTGCTCCAGGACTACAAAGGTCACTGTGCTCAGATCTCTTACAAGCACCAGTTTGTTCCCTGAGTGCCATTCAGTAAATCCTGCTGAGATAGCAGGGGACTGTTTCCTTTCTGAAGCTGTGGTGAAACAGCCTCTACACAAGAAAGAGAGATCCAAAGGTGAAAAACATACAGGCTAAATATTTGCTAATTTTACCCTGGTCAAGAATTTGTTTCTGTCAACAATCCACATCGAGCAGCATTAGGGAATAAGTGACCCAGTGGGCGTTTATAGCATTCAGGGGGAAAATATGTGCAACAGTGATATAATTATTATTATTTCCCAGGCTTCTGCACCTTTTTCTAATCATTTTTGTTAACAGGAACTGTGAGGAAGGCTGAAAAGGTACTGACAGGTGGGGGACAGTACACACCAGCTCTTCTGACACATCTGCTGCATGTTAATGTGGGCACAAGTCTTACAGGAGCTGTTATGATTGGTTTTAATTCTGCTGTTTAGGGAAATGTAAACAACTCCTGAAAACTGAGGGAGTGACAAGGGACAGACACTGCCCAAAGCCACTGTGAGAGGACAGAAGTGGTTCCAGCTGGGCTCAGTCCTACGTATGCTCTCTTACCAGGTCTCCCGAGAGATCACCCCGAGAGTTACCACTCCTTCATGTGGAACAACTTCTTCAAGCACATTGACATCTCTCCAGAGAACGTCCACATCTTGGATGGGAATGCACCTGATCTCCAGGCAGAGTGTGATGCATTTGAGGAGAAAATCAAAGCAGCTGGAGGAATCGAGCTCTTTGTTGGAGGTGAGAAGCTCATGGCACGGAGGTCATTAGGCACTGGCAGGAAGCTGTGCCTGTCCTCCCCCAGCCTCACTTACTGCCAGGATTGTTCATTTCCAGTGCCTCTCAGTGGGTTTGCAGTGAAACCACCCCAGAGTCCATGGCCCTGGGCCCTGAGGTGTGCTGTGTCTCCCAACACGCTGCTTCCCCAGTCCTAGGCATTTCGATCCAGTCAGTGAACTGTTCAGGAAACAAATAGCAGGAAAAATGGGAAGAGCTAGAATTGTACAAATACAAAGTATATTGCAACTGTCAGTGCTGACAGGAAACTGTAGTCAGAGTCCTCTGAGCCAATGGGAGCTCAACACAAGCTTTTCCATGGACTTTGCTTTGCTATTGTCCTAGCACAGTTAGGGAGGAGCCTCAGAAGGAGCTTTTGCCATCACTCCTACCAGCCACAAATTTGAGCTTGAGCAGAACTGCAGATGTTTTTCTCAGATCTGTGTACCTGGAAGCACTAACTGTCCTTATCACAGCAGAGCTGTTGGCTCTGCTCCCACCACTGACCTTCCTCTCCCCCTGTCTCTGTCCCAGGTATCGGCCCAGATGGTCACATTGCCTTCAATGAGCCAGGGTCAAGTCTGGTGTCCAGGACACGAGTGAAGACCTTGGCTATGGACACCATCTTGGCCAATGCCAGGTTCTTTGATGGTGACCTCTCCAAAGTCCCCACGATGGCCTTGACAGTCGGAGTAGGCACTGTGATGGATGCCAGAGAGGTTAGGAGAACAGCAGTGACTTCCTACAGTAGGTCTGGGGCAGAGCTTCCTGCAGCAGCAGCTAAAGGTTATCCCACCTTGGAGCAGCAACGTGTCCTGCTGGTGAAGGCTGTTCCAGCCACAGACAGCACTGCCTGACCCTCCTGTCCTCTTGCATCCTGCACCACCATGGAAAGACTCCTGCTCCATGTCTGCTAACACCTGTGTTTGTGCAACCCTGCAGTAGTTGTTAGCACAAGGACACACAAAGGTTTGGGAGGGTGTATTTGGTTAGGAATCTCACCTGGGGAATAGCTGCAGGAATCACAGGCTGAGTTATGTCACACCAGCAGGTGATGAAAACTGTATGGACAGTTTTTAATGGAGTCTATTCTATGATTTATACTTGTTAAATCACAGCATAGCAGTGCCCAAAGGGGAGCTCAAAGGATCCAGATCCTCCCAGTGACCCATCACGCTGTGATTTAATTGACAAACCAGCCAGGAAAGAACTGTGTCACAGAGAAGTGGCTGTGGGGAGGGTGGCAAGATGTCCCTGCTGGGGTCCAGGCAGCTCTTGGCTCCCCCTGAACCCCCTCCCAGCCCCTAACTGCCTCCTCCTGTGATGCAGGTGATGATTCTGATCACAGGAGCCCACAAAGCCTTTGCTCTGTACAAAGCCATCGAGGAAGGAGTCAACCACATGTGGACAGTGTCTGCCTTCCAGCAGCATCCCAACACTGTGTTCGTGTGCGACGAGGATGCCACGCTGGAGCTCAAGGTCAAGACAGTGAAGTACTTCAAAGGTGAGTGTGTGACCAGGCCAGGCAGGGGTTTAGTTAGGTTTCACGTGGCACAACCCATGCTTTGCATGAGATGTTTCTGCTTAATCAACTCCCAAAAGTATATTCTTTAAATACACCATGATAATCAAAGTGTGAAGGGAAATGCTTAACTGCTTTGATGTGGGAGCAAAGGGACAAGGACACCAGTAATGTCTGATATAGTTAGTATCCAATGAATGAGGGTTTTCCCTTATTATGTCTACTTAAATCAACTTTTTACTGTCCCCATCAGGTTTAATGCTGGTTCACAACAAGCTGGTGGAGCCCTTGTACAGCATGAAGGAGAGAGGAGCAGAGGGGAGCCAGTCCAAGAAGCCATACAGTGATTAACCTGCTTGGAGCAGTGCTGAACCAGCTGGAAAACAGCTGGGGAAAAAGGGAATTGCCACAGGAGCTGATCTCATATTGTTCTTAAATTAGCAGAATGATCATGTGCTTACTTCTCTCCATTAGAGATAGATGCCAAACACCTGCCTTAATTAGCCAAATGAGAAGGGGATCCAGGGTACTGTGTTCCCCAAACTTCTGCCACTACCTCATTCTCTGAAGGTGAAGTCAATGACAAATGAGTTGTTTGATCTGTGAAGGGACTGAAATCATGCACTGAAGGCTGCAGAACTGCAACGTGAGGACAAGTGAAAGTACAAACACAAAGCAACAGGGTAATCACTTTGGGGTGTATTCCTTGCAGTTAGGACAAGTACCTCGTGTGTCATTCCCCCTCCACAAAACACTCCTGCATTAGCATCGTGGAAAATGGGACATAGCTTGTCCAGTGGAGAAGGGAAAGCTTCAGCATGGCCTCAGAGCTGTGTGCCCCACAGCCAGGAGAAGGTGCAGCCAGGCTGTCCTGGGCAGCAGCAGGAAGAGTGAAGTGGACACAAGCCACTGAGGCTGGACAGAGGGAAAAACCTTCCCCTGGGGACAGCCAAGCAGTGGGGCAGGTTGCCCAGAGGCTGTGCAGGCTCTGTCCTCAGGTTTCCAAGACCTGACTGGATTAAGTGCTGGCTGAGCCCCACATTGACCAGTGCTGGGGCTGAGACCAGCTGAGCAGAAGAGGCTGTGGCAGCACTCACCACTCACCCACGCAGAGGTAACGGTGCAGTTTGTGCCTCTGAGGATGTTGTTGCTGCTGTCACACAAGAAGGCCTTTGTGCTCAGTTCCAGGGTTTAATTTTCTATGCTCTGGTGCTTCATGAAGCACTCCAGGAGGGTAGATTTGTTCAGACGAAGCAGAAGTAACTCCTCTCTGTGCTCAGCACTGTTCTTTGTGTCAGTGCAGAACCTGAAGCACCAATCTCTCTCCTCTCTCCAGTGCTTTCCACTGCTCTGAGGAAATGCCAAACCAGCCTCAAAGGAAACACTCTGTCCCCACTGGCTGCAGCCTCTGTTTGATTACAGAATTCTCACACAGGTGGACAAGAGCCTGTACTGGCAAGACCCCACCAACTCTGCCATGTGATTCCTGGGAATTCATCTCCAGTGCTGCCACGAGGGGCAGGAAAACTGGGCACCATTTCTTTCCTTTATGCAGAAATTTTGTTAAGCTGATGATCTGTAATGCAATGTCATTTTCTACACTAAATGTCCTGAATCTTTTCTAAATGGTGACATTGGCTGTATCTGGTGCTGTGTCTCACTGTGTTATGAAACCAAAGCTGTCCTGGAAGCAGTTTGGTAGGAATAGCTCCTGCTGCTCCCTCCTTCCTTGCCCAGGGTTTGCTGGCAGGTTTCCACCAGACACCTGCTCTGGTTCTGTCCTGCCAGGCAGCAATCGTGTCACAGGGAAAAGTGGGGACATTTAAGGGAGGAGGGAGGAGGCCACAGCTCCACCTGGTACCACAAAGCATCTGTGAGGAATATCATGGTCCCTGTGCCTGCACAGGAACAGAGAAAGTGAGATGTGCAAGAGGGAAGTGCCCAAGGGAGTAACTTCACATCCCCTCACCAGAGCTGTGCCCTGCTTTCTGCACAGGGTCTGGGTGAGCTGTCTGTGCCACCCCAGCTGATTGTCCTGTGAGTGCAGTCACCTGCTTGTCCCCACCCCACAGGGTCTGTCCAACTCTGCCTTCCTGCAGGATCTGGAAACTCCAGCCTAGGGGTCCCTGAATCCACAGACACAGTGGTGACCATTGCTGTCTCACCTCTCTCCACACAAAGCTCTTGAAAACTGAGGTAGTTCATTGCAGCATCTTCCAGTACTTCACCATTTGTGCTCTGGTAGCTCTGGCACATCCCCAGCCATGGATCTCCATCCCAACATCCCCACTGGCATCCCAGCCCTGCCCTGAGCCACCTCTGTCCTGCTTGAAGGGACCTAACCCCATCCCCTCCCTCCAGGCAGGAGAAGGGGGTTTAAGCTTCTCCTTGTCACAAGCATTCCCCACATACAGCTCAGCAGGAGTGAGCCCCTTCCCAGAGCAGGCAGCTTTGGGATTCAGCCTGTGGAGGTACTGATGGTGACCAGGCTGGGAGCAGCTCAGGGCTGGCTGCATCCAGCAGCAATCCCAGAGCAGTGCCAGGACAGGCACCGTGTCCTAGGGGCCTGTGTCAGGGCCATGGGGGTGTGAGGGCACTTGGCACACACAGATGTCCAGATTTCCACTGGAGAAACATCCCATGCCAGTCTCACCCTGACTCTGCCCTGTCCCAGCCCTCAGCCCAAGCAGCACCAGCACACAGAGCTGTCCCCACAGTGACCTGTGCTGCCAAACCCATGCCAGAAAGAAGACAAACACGGAGACAACTGCGTTCACCATCTTAAAGTGAATTTAGTGCATGTGAAAGGTGCAGGAAATACAATTCAAACCATACATAAAGTAAACCTTTCCTACACCTCACCTATAGCCCAAACCCAGAGGAGGTTTGCACTGATCATCTCATCTCTTTAATCTCTGCCAGTTCTACCAGTACAGACCTTCACCCTCTGCAAAGGAACTAGAGCAGTACCCACTTTGGCCAGATACTCCAGTATAAATTTATTCACTCTCAGTCAAAACTGAGTGAGAGATGATCCCCTGGAGTTTCTGAAGAGCCTTCCAGTTCCTGAGCTATCCACCCAGGCCCTACTGTTTGTTCTGAGCACAGCACATGCAGCTTTCATTTCCAAGTAAACTTATAAGCCGTTCTGCAAGTGGAAAAACTTGTTAAAAAATTAGTGGTTCCCTCCAGTAATTACCTTCATGCCCATAAAATTACTTGTTGAGCTTTATGGGGAAACAATTTGGCTTCTGAAATAATTTGAAGTGCGAGAACAGTGGGGAACAAAAGGGAACAACAAAAGCAGAATTACCAACTAATCAAATTTCTTACAGGAAGAGTTAGTAAAAAATAAATTACTTCATCATCTGAGAAGATAACTGTCAATATCTTGAAGAATTCAAGTCAATCTCAACTGTGTGTCCACAGAATGTGTTTCAGTCTCTGCCTGGTACTTCTCCCCCTCTCCCTGGCCACATCCTCAATTCACTGCCCTAGCACTCAGCACTGCCAGAGCAGGGAGTGAATGCAGCAGAACTGGGACTGAACTACCTGGGAATGGCTCTTGGTCACCTCTGCCCAAGCACTCAGGGAGGCAAAGGCCCAGCAAGAAGAGGCTTGGGATAATCAGCTCTAATGTCACCAGGCAGCACCAGTGAGAGAGCAACGAGCTGCTTTGCAGATAAACACATCAAGAGATCTACAAAACCAACCAACATCATTGCTGAATGCGGAAGAATTTTCCTGCACTTATCAGCAAACCTTTCCCAGTGCAAGCAGCAGCACTAAACAGCTCCAGGAACAGCACCACAGCTCTAAAACTGCCCTGAGCCCACAACAGACATGACCCAACACCCTCCAGAGGTCACTGTCCTAATGGAGACCACAAATCCTTCCACAGTTTGAGGCTCCAGTTTTGTCTGCTTGCTTTGGGAAAAGGGACACCTCTTGGTAAATGTTTTCCCACTAATTTTCCAACTTCTGACTGGTTTTGTTTGCCTTTAATAATCAGTGTGAATGTTAGGGCATTCCATGCCGACCCTGACCCCAGGATGGGTAGAACAGTCTCCTTTGGTTTTGGCAACAGGCTCTGAGGTGTGAGCATCCTGCAGTGCAGGGGAGTTCCCTCTCTTTTCTCACGTAATGGAAGTGAAAAGCAAACAAAGGACACACAAAAAGCATCTGTCTCTGGGCTGTTCACCTGCTGCTGCTGGAGGAAGCTACTGGTCTTCATCATCATCTTCCCAGAACTCCCCATCGTCGATGTTCATGGCTTGAAACAATCTGCAAGACAGTTAGTGACATCGGGGGACAAAGAGTCAAATATGTGAAAAAATTCGACCTAAATGTGACAAAAAGTAAAAAACCAGCAAGTTTCACTGTTTTTTCAGTATCCCAAACCACAGATGCTGCAGCCCTCAAAGTCAGGTAAAACAAGGGACTCTACACTTGTCCAGCTTGTTACCTTACACATATATGTCAGAAATTCCTGAAGATATTATACATCCAAACAGTGTTACAGTTCCCAGCAGGCTGCAATTCCTGCCCCAGACAGCTCACAGTCCCACCAGACTCAGGGAGCTGGGCAAACACATCTGAGCACCACTGGGACACAGAGGGACAAAAAGGGCATTTGGCAGTGCTGGGTAATTCCTGGACTCCATGGGTTTAGGTCTTTCCCAAGCTAAACGATTCTCTGAGTTCTTTTTTTATGAAGCAGATGAGCTGAGTCAAGATAGGCAGAGGTTAAGCTAAACTAAGAGAACAACAGGAGAAAAAGAGAAAGGAAAACAGAGTAGGAGGTGAAAAAACCTCCTGTTGGGAGAAGTGGGATTGCTGAAAAGGGCCAAGAACAAGATATATCCTGTCAGCCACATCTGTCACAGCAGAATAGATGGTAGAGGATTGAGAACACTACTGGGATTTTGATCCAGACACCACTGTCACATATCCCTATGGAATACACACGAGCTGAGAGGTTGCAATTATCACCCCCCTCTGTCTGACCTGCTGCCTCTCAACCTGTCCCAGCCCCCTGTGCCTGGACCCTTCCCCAGCAGTGATGATGTGAGACAAATCTGCAGCTTCTGAGGAGCATTTCTCACCCAAACCCTCACACTGCACCTGAGCATCTGCAGGGACACATTCCCCTGCAGGCTGTGCCTCAGGTAGAGCCAGCACAGCAAGGATGAGGCCATGGTCCTGACCTAAAGAGTCAGGAATAGGCCCAGAAAGTCCTTCAGAATTTTAAAACAAAGTTCTTAAGACACACATCCTGAATTCACTCCTGATTTTTAGTGTGAGCATAAAGATCTCAGAGAAGCAATTCTGTCTGAAGCTGTAGCTCCAAAGTGGAAGGCAGGAAGAGAGAGGCTGCAGGAGCAGCAGGTGCAGGAGCAGCAGAGCTGTGTGGGCACACACCTGTTGAAGCAGGGGGACGAGGGGTCGTTGAAGTGCCGGTAGGGGTTGGCCCGGGACAGGGCACCCATGCAGAGCCAGCAGAAGTACCTCATGCAGCCTGTGCATGTCATTTTGTTACAGCCATCCAGTTTCTGGGGGGGAAACACAACAAAGAGCAACAACACATCTCACTGTGACTGTGGTGGGTTTAGCCTCCCTGTGACAACAGCCCTCTGCAGCACATTTCAGCCCGACCACAACACAGAGAGTCACCCACTGCTCAGAACTGAGCTGCAGGCACAGGACTGCAAACTGGCTGCAATGCTAAAAACACTGGAAATTAGCACTTTTCTGAAGCTAGGTTTGTTTTGTGGCTGTGGTGTGAAATAGCAGTGGCCTGAAACACATGAAAAACCAAAGGATCCATAGTCAGCCTGGATCTGTGTAGCACTGGAGCCTGAACAGCACCAGTTGCTGGGTGTGCTCAAGCCCCTGAGCTCCACACAGGTCACCTCACCTCCTTTCCCACCAGCACAGACAGAAATAGAAAGTTCTCTTAGTATTTCCTACCACTTTCCCTGCCCTGGAGGTTACCAACACACACAACTGCCTCATTCGAGTCCTCTCCTGCTCCCGTGACCCTCCACAGCCTTTCCCTCCACACTCACCTCTATGTGAGTCCCACAGCAAGGACAGGACTTGGAGTTCTTCTCCAGCCACTCCTTACTCTCCATCTCCTCCAGGGCTTTCTGAATCACTCTCTTGCCATAACGTTGTTCCAAAAACTTCTTAGCGGTCTCATCTGCTTCTAAATAGTCATTTCGCAGATCCATTAACTTCTCTGGGGACAAAACCAACCCAAACAGCTTTTGTAACAGGCTATGCAAAAAGGTCCAGCTGATTGCAGCATCAAGATTCCCAAAGGAAACTACCATCAGTAATTAAAAAGCAAAAAATACACGAGAATGCATAAGATGAGAATATTAAACCCTCTCTGCCCCAAAATTCCATAGCTTTACACTGTTTCAATATAACAGACTTATATATAACAGACTGATGGAATTAGAACAAGTCTGCAATGTAAAATAAGCTGAAAAATGGAAATATCTTTTCTGAACATACATTCAATGAAGTTTAGTCAGAGGATTTTGAGGTCAAACAGACAGAGAAGCCTCCACCTGATTTCAATATCAGCTGTGACAACACAAAGTAGTGGATTCACAGGGGAAAGGGTAAAAAAAATGCCATTAAATTATTCTTCCCTTGCTACAGCATTTGGCAATCAGCAGTTCAGAGACTTCCTGAGCTGTGGAGTGTCATCAAAGGGAAGATATTTAATTGCCAGCAACAGACCTGCTCCAAATGAAAGTGTCTGGGCTTTCAGAAAGCTCGTGGTGAGGAGGTTTCTCGCTCAACTTCTGTTTCACACCTGATTTAATTGCATCTCACCACGTTTCTGGATCAGAAGGTGATGTCACTCACCTGCAGTGACTTTGCAGGGAGAGACCCCGTGATAAGTCATCTTGCAGAGGGTGCAGAAAGCATAGTTGCAGCAGGAGCAGATGCCCATGGTGCAGCCAGGCTCCTGCATCACGGGGGTCTGGCAGCCTGGCCGGGGGCAATACACCACGTCTGCCATCAGGTCCAGGCTGGACTGCAGCAGCAGGCGGTCGTAGCGGGCAAACAGCTCCTCCCCAACCAGCTCCTTCACCTGCAGGCACAGGAAGGTGTTAGGAAGATTCCTCCCTGGGAGGTGCTGGGGCACTGGCACTGGTTGGCCAGAGCAGCTGTGGCTGCTCCATCCCTGGGAATGTTCCAGAACATGTTGGATGGTGCTTGGAACAACATGGGCTGGTGAGAGATGTCCCTGCCCATGGCAGAGGTGGGACTGGATGAGTTTTAAGGTCCTTCCAACCCATTCTGTGATTCCATGATTACCTGCATTTGAAATTCAGAGCCTGCTACTGTCAGCAAAACACAGACAATGAAAAGTCCCTACAGAATCCACGGTGGATTCTCCAACGGGTCATGAAAATACTACTAGAAATGCTATTTACTGATAACTAACCCAAGGAACAGCATGCAGTGTCAGGTGCAACAAAGCATTCCCTCAGCCCCCTGAGCAATGCCAGTGCTAACCAAGTGGGCAAACCAGGTGCCAAGGGATTCAGCGCTAACTCTAGTGCCTCTGTGTGGCTCAGAGCATGAAGAAAACATCCCCAGGTACAGTCCCTGGGGAATCCTCCCCGTGGTGGACAAAGTGGTGACAGGTCAGAGGTTGGAGTTGTGGCCTTGGAGACCTTTCCCAGCCTGAATCATAGAATCAACCAGGTTGGAAAAGATCTCAAAGGTCATCAAGTCCAACCCCACTGTGGTCACTAGACCATGGCACTAAGTGCCACATCCAGTCTCAGCTTGAAAACCTCCAGGAATGGTGACTCCACCACCTCCCCAGGTAGCACATTCCAATGCCTGAGCACTCTCTCCATAAAAATTTCTCATCCATGGGAGGAATGGCTCTGTGCTCCCTGCACGGTGCCCGTGGCACACAGGGTGTTACCTGGCCAGGAGTGGCGCCGGACGAGCACTTGGGCTCGGGGCAGTTGAGGCAGTGCACCTGTCCATCCCGGATCTGGATCTCAAAGTAGTCCTTCAGGCAAGCTTTGCAGTACACGTGGCTGCACTCGGTGAAGTGCATGCACTCGCTGCCCAGCTTCTCACAGAAGCAGATACTGCACAAGTACATCTTACTGTTAAAGCACTTCCTCCTCTGGGCCTGGTCAAAGTCCAAGATTTCCCTGATCAGACTGGACAAGGACTCCACATCCTGCACAGCTCTGGCATCCATGGTCTCCTCCTCGGCCGAGGCTGAGCCTGCAGCAGCCTCACAGTCCTTCCCATCCTCCGCAGGCACCGACGGCGTCCGGCTCTGCCCCTGCCCTGGGTGGCACAGCTTCAGCTCGTATGGGGAGGAAATGTTCAGGTAGCTCAGTGTTTCTTCCTTCAGGAACTGCATCCAGGCAAAAAGGACCACACAGCCTCGGTTCTCCTCCCACACGTTGTCCAGGTGTTTGCAGAGAGCACTGAGCTGTGCAGGAACAAACAATCCCTGATTTCAGTGAGTTCTGACACCCTCACTGGGCTCCTCTCACCCCCAGTTCTCCTTCGTGCACACTTAGATTTCAGATTCTGGTTTAACCTATCCACAAAACACACATAAAATGATGCTCAGAGAAGCCAATTCCTCAGAATAGCGACCAAATGAAAACCAGCAGGAGACAGAAGACCCTAATGAAGAGCAATGTCACCAGTTTTACCTTCATTAACAACCCCCCAGAGCACAGTTAACGACACACTTAGCTCTGTCAAAATGTTGGAAATCTGCTGCACACCTGAGCCTGGGAGAGCCATTTGCCACTGAGGGTGAAGAGCGGAGGGGACGTCGAGGGGTAGTCGGGAGGAAGCTCGAAGTTCAGCACGAGGGGAGGCAGGAAGCACACGGAGTACTCAAACCCACTGCTCTGCAGGCTCTCTGGGGAGCTGCCTGGAGCAGAGACAAGAGAGGCACTTTGAGAGGCAACAGGAAAACAAAGACCACTGAGCTGCCCCTGGTTGTGACAGCACCCAATGTGTCTGAATTGGGATACATTTCTGGGGTCAGACACGTTTGTTCAACCCTAAATAACAGAAGTTCTTGGAGCAGTAAAATATCTCAGGGTTGGAGCTCTGTGATTAAAGCAGCTCAACACTAGCACTGTGAAATGTCAGGTCCTGCACTGACAAGGAACCTGGACACGCATATCCTCAAGGGAACAGAAAAACTAATAAATGAACTTAATTACCCTGAAAAAATGCCATTACTCCTCTGTAATTTTAGAGCTTACTAAAGAAGTTATGTGCATGAGGATTAACTGCTCTAACACGAACCCCAACAGAACCACAAGCACAGCACAGGGTGAGCCACAGCTCTGCCTGGTCCCTGTCCCTGCAGGTCACTCCAGAGCCACCACTGAGCTTGGTGAAACCTCCTCTGGGATAACATAGAACATCTCAACTCACCACTCACAAAAACTTTGAAGTCCTGAGGCAACTCCAGGCAAATTCTTGTCTCTCCTCCTTGGGCAGACTCTGCTCTCTTAAACTCATCTTCATCATAGATGCTGGCCAGAGCCAGCAGCTCGTCCTCCTGAGCTTCCTTGTCCTCTGAAGACATTTATTTACCTTCCCTGTGGAGTTAACACCACTCTAACATCAACCCAGTTAACACATCCCATTACAACTGTTAATTTGGATGTTTCATACTACTACAAGATTCAGAAACCCAAGTAACTGATCTAAAACTATGTGAAATATCACTAAGGTTTTTTACGGGTTGAGCTTTATAAAATAAAAGAAACTAAGCAGAATATTAAAAAGTCAGAAAGCAAACTGTGTGTTAGGAAATAAATACAGCTCTAAGGGTGGAAACAAAACACAGAGATGGCACAAGTGACTCGAGAACATTTCATTGATGTTTGAAAGAGAAAACAGACACAAAAGCACCAGGAAAAAGGAACCAGTATCAGCAGCTCTTGTTCAGTGTTCAAAAGCAAACAAGGAGCTAAAGCAAACGAGGGCAGAGCCCATTTGTGATTAGAGCTGCCGAAGGGATCAGTAGGGTTCAATCCTGCCCAGTGCCCTCCTGGGGCTGCAGTAAGTGCCTTACCTGGTGGCTCAGCCCCGCGGGAGGCAGAGCCAGCACTGGTCCCTGCCCGGGGCAGCAGATGGGGCTGCTCACAGCTGACCATGCGGCTCAGACCCTTCTCCTCACTCAGGACACATGTGCTGCCAAAGAAACAGCTCCTGCGGCTCCTCCCCTGGCGCTGCGAGACAAACACCTGCGGGTTAAAGTCCTCTCGGTGCCTTTCGCCCGTTCCCAGCGCGGCTCCCGGGTGGTATTCCCAGCTCCAGGGGAAGGGGCCGCGTTACTGTGCTCAGTGCCCCGGGGACACCGCGGGGATGGGCGAGCCGAGCTGCCCCGAGCTCCAGC